AGATTTTAGAGGGGCAACTTTATCTTTTCTCTCTGGCCTCTAGGTCCCCTTCTTCTAGGAATTTCTCCACACTACCTCCTCTCTCAGTGGTTTAGGCAAGATTATTAGGTAAGAAGAGATGTGCTATTTCTTATGGAAGTAGATATTGTGCTGTCCAGTGTATTTTTAGTGTTCTTTTGGTTGCTGTTTTCTGCTGACTTCTCTCCTTAAGGGGAAGCTTATGATTCCTTAAGGAACTTGTAGTCACAGAAATAGTATATGAAGATGTCACTGTTTTGCAGTAAACATGATTATTTGTCATACTTTTCTATGTAATGTGGAAATCATAATAAAAATAGCAACCATCTAGTAAGTGGACCTGTGTAATACATATTATTTATATATGTATATTAATTATGTATACCACAAGTAACTATATATATTTTTATACATCTCACTGTGTATAACTTTTATATACAATATCGCACTTATCATTGCTAATTATATGCGTATATGTGAATATGGTTCTCTTCATATAGAAAACACACTAGTTAATAATGTGTGTAACTCATTATACATGAACACAAATCATAAATGCAGATATATGCCTTGGTGACTAGATTCACGGAAATACTGTAGTAATACCTCTCCAAAGCTGTAAAATATTTCAAAAGATGTAATCAGGTAACTAAATACTTTTTCTTTTGATGTGTATTGTCATTACTTTTGAAGGAATATTTACAGATTAAAAAAATATCTCTGTTTAACAAGCAAACTCTGATGCGGCATACATTTTATTATCATTGTCAGACATCAAATTACATTAAAGCCCAGCTGATCTTCCATGACCTTGCCTACCACATTGTTAGTGAGCACAGAGCACACAGACACAGAACCTGCCTTTTAAAATATAGATAACACACATTCATAAATAGGAGAGTGAAGCACAGCCTTTTGAGACATTTCCAGTAAGAGCTTAAGGGTGATTACATTCTTACAAAGCCACTGCAGGCGATCCCCAGTGGTTCTGACTCGCAGATCGGGACTGAGAGTCCCAATTTACTTGCTGCACATTTTCCAAACAGAACTGTAGTTTACAATCATTCTTATTGCTGTAGTTAGAATGGTAGTGTTATTTAATGTTACTTAATGGGTGACCCATCACAGGAGTTTGAAATACTTTAACATTCTTTGCATTTTGAAGAAAAAGTTAGAAAACACTAGCTCATGGCCAGTCTTATTTAGTTTCCCGAAGTACCTGTGAAGCAAAAATATTCATGACATTTTACAGAACAAGATAATGAAGACCCATCACTAACAGAGCCAAAAGGGAATGCTTTGTCTTAATGTAAAAGCTTATTTGAAATAAAGACAGGAATATAAAAACATATTTACTGAGCACTTATTTAAAAGATCATAGTACATTTCTTGTGCTTTTAAAAAGTGGTGGTAGGGCTGGGGATTTAGCTCAGCGGCAAAGCGCCTACCTGGCAAGCACAAGGTCATGAGTTCGGTTCCTGGTACCGGAGAAAAAACAAACAAACAAAAAAAATAAAATTAAAAAAAAATTTAAAAAGTGGTGGTAATTATTATTATGCCCATTTCATAGCTGAAAATTGAGGGATGAGATTATGTAGGGAAGTTACTCAGGGTCATGAGGCCCAGTCAGTGGTGGGCTCTCAGGTTGAAGCCTTTCTTATTTATTGAGAAACTTTAAAAAAAAAAAAACAACATACCCAGGTGTTGAGGATATAAGTCAGCAGCACAGCACCTTCCTACAAGCACAGTCCTGAATTCAAGTCCAAGTATCAAGAAAAATGACATATCCAAACTCAGACATTTAAAGTTGGAACTGAACTCAAATTTTTGATATGCTTTAACAAGTTTAATCGAGATTACTGGTTTTGGTTGTACACTTACCCTCAAAAATTGAATTTCTTTTCCCAGGCTTAAAAAGATGGAGTAGATAAATTCCAAATCAAACCTTTCATAGAATAATCAGGATGACATCAGCTATTATTTTGTGGGATTGTTCACACGTCAGCCACTATATTAATTGTAGTATATGTGTTTTCTCATTTAATCTCCCAAAACAATCCTATAAGGCAGAGTGATAAATGACAAATTCTTCTTCCTAAAAATATACATTCTTATACATTACTCTGGCTCTTGCTGTAACGGGACTTTGTGTATGAAATTAAGATTACTTATGATAGGTTGAATTAAAAATTATGATCACTAATCAGCTAAATATAACAAAGAGATTATTTTGAGTGACATTGGTAGAGCCATATAATCACAGAAACTTCTTAAAACCAAAAAAGGAAGGTAGAGGAGAGGAGATAAAAAAGGATATGAGAGACATGAAAACCATGAGAAAGATTTGGCCTGCTATTGCCAGTTTTGAAGACCAAAGAGGTCAGAAGCCAAACTTCTAAACAAGAGAGTGAACTGACCTCATAGCCAACTCTTCTGAAAGTTTTGCATATTAATCACACATAGTGTGCTAGCAGTTTCTAAATACAACATACATTAAAGTTTTAAATGTAAAGAATTTAAGTTAGTTAGGAACAAAAAGCTTTTGCAACCACAGTAATATCTGATCTTATTTTGAGTATTAATTCCATTTTAAAGCAAATATTCTGCTGCAAAAATATTAAAAGGAAACTCTTGCAGTATCATGTTTACTCCTTAAATCAGAGTCCCAAAAGTCACTGTTTTCCTCCTTCATGTTAACAGTAATTGAATAAAATTTTCACTGCAGGTTGGTACACTTGGATTTACATTTTGAGAGATACAGAGGAAGAGACATTGGTGCAAATTGGAAATGGAATGAAACATGATATTTATACTGGTTTTAAATATTTCAACATCCATCTTGTGTCATTTTTAACCAACAGATGAGAGGTAAAGATGTCAGAACTTTTCATTTCACCAAACAGCGTGCAGCATTTGCAATGCTGACAATTTACTTTTTTGAAGTATAAATATACTTTCATTCTACTTCTAGTTTATGTGCATCTTCCCCATGGCATCTCATAAGGTACAAATCGATATGCAGTGTTTTCTAAATAAGAATGATAATAACAATTCTAACTAGGATGTGGGAAGGACTTACTGTCAACTGAGAAATTGAATACACTCTCTGCTTCCTGTCTGCTAAATTGATGAATAAGACTATTTGTAATAATGAGGAAAAGGTGACAGACAATAAATAAAACAGAACATATTACACCATTAAATAAACATTAGATCAAAAAGCAGTTAAATATTTTCTTGGAAAAAGAGCTCTGATTCTTTCTTTACCATTTACAAGTGTGCCCTGTTCTTGGCCAAACTATTCCACTATATCTATCTATCTATCTATCTATCTATCTATCTATCTATCTATCATCTATCTATCTATCCATCATCTAGCTATTTATCATCTACCTATCTATCTATATACATAAAATGCTATTTTCATATGAAAACATGCTATGAAGAAATGTTAGTATACTTTCATATAATGTATTTTAAAGGATACATATTTTAGATTTCAAATAGTTCCCTACTATGCTATTACTTTGGCTACAAGTAGAGCGGTATGTTGAATCATTAACTTTCAGGTCTTTGTTTGTCCCTGTATTGGAATGATATGTTCTCTGTCTATACCCTTGGTTTTTCAATGTCATCTAACAGAATGGTGTAAACTTACTTTACCACTCTGTTCACATTGAACTGTCCACGTGATTTATTATAAACAGTGGAACATTGGTGGAAGTGACATTATGCCCTTTCTGGGTACAAGGTCTAAGGGGCTTCCTGGCCTTCCATTCATTCTCTTGCATTTTTGCTCCTGTGCAGAGAAACCCTTGGTCTATGTGGCTGCTTCTTCTCAGCCTGAGTTCCAGAATGGACACACGAGTCTGGTTTAAACACAACACAGCATGATGAACCAGGCCCAATGCGTCCTGCAGCTAAAAGCAGATCCAGAGTCTGGTTTTACCACCATCACATCACACCATCACCAAACTGAAGGCGTACAGGTGAGTCCTGCTGAAAGCATTATCGTTAACCCAGCCAAAACACATGCATGTGAATGAATAAATGCTCACTGAGTGCCATCGAGGCTTTGTGATTGTTTATGAGGCAGCAACACGAACAGATAAAAATACTGCTCCCCACCTCCCATACTAGGGAGTGAATTCAGAGCCTTTTCATTCAGCTGCATCTCCAGGCTTTTTACAAAAATATTTTGAGACAAGATTTTGCTAAATTGCCCAAGCTGAGTTTGAACTTGTGATCCTCCAGTTTAACCTTCCTAGAGTACTGGGAATAGAGGTGTCCACCACTACACTCAGCTACTCTTTCAGTTTTTATAATTGAGAGCGCTAGTTTTTAATCAACCACGTCTACTTTTTGAGGAATTGATCTCTTTATTCATTTCTTCTCCATCTCAAGCACAGCTTTTATGAGTTTGCTCATATGTTCACATTATTACTTTTATAATTTACTGAAATGCCTTGCCTATGTACTTGTCTATCTCAGTCAATGAAAAGCTCCCGGAAGGCATGGACTGTGTCTTATACAGTATATCTTTGGCGGTACGAGCTATCAAATGTGTCAGAAGCAGCTGGTAGTCAAACATAGTATGTAATGATGGAGAATAGATCAACGCATATATATTCTATTCATCTGATGCCACTTGGCATTTGGGTATTCAATGTGCTATATACTATCTCAGCAAGGTCCTTAGATGGAAGGAGGTCAAAAACATTTACTCTTCAAAAATGAGTAGTAATTTTTAAAATTGTCAATGGAAGCATCCTTTAGATTATCCTCTTAGGTTCCAGAAAGAAAACATTTTTTCTTCTTTGTGCCTTAATGCAGTACATTGACTAGAGAGTTTTCCTTAACAAATTACATGTAGAAAGTTTACTCCCTATGCATTTTAGCATTAATATTTTTTAATTCACACTTGCTTTCCATAAAATTTCTTCAACTTCTCATTGTAGTGCTGGGCAAATGATGACTGGGATGCTGTAATTATTCCTGCTGGAAATATAAGGGAACCAGCTAAAAAAATGGAATACTCTGAATTTGGACCAAAAAAGTCATAAAGAAAGTAAGTAGAATTCTGGCTTTCTCTTAGCCCACAACTTGACCAAAAATTTAAGACTGAATTTATGTTACCCAGTTTTTCGATTGGATCTTTTATTTCATGGAGTCTAAATATTTTGGGTTCTTTGTATATTTTAGTTATAAGTCCTCTGTCCTGAGAGTAACTGTAAAGATTTTTTTCCATTCAGTAAATTATCTCTTCACTCTGTTGCTTTTTCCCCTTTGCAGTGCAAAACTTTTTAAATTTGATATAATTCCCTTTGTTCCTTCTTCCCTTGTTATGTCTTTTGAGCTGGGGTTCTGTTCAGAAAGTCCTTACCTATGTCTATACTTCAAAAGTTTTACTTATGTATCTTCTAGAAGTTTTTGTTTTATTATCTAGATCTTTTCATGCCCTTTGATTTGATTTTAGTACAGGAATAGAGGTCTAGATTTAGATTCATTTCTTCTTCACATGGATAACCAGTTTTCTCAGGATCATGTGTTGAAGATGTTCAGATTGCTATTTTTGCCCATGTGAAATTGATAGCTGCATTTCTGCTTTTCTAGGCACATTTGTGTCCTTTAAATATGCTGGTACATTTTTTCTTTTATTTCTGGAAAATATTCTTGCAGAACAAGTTTATTCTTACTTTTGCTTCATTATGTTGGCTTTTTCAGTGACTTTATGCAGAGGTTATCTTTTCTGTAATTGTTTCATATTTCAATTTTTTTTTTGTCTTTTTGAGACAGGGTCTTGCTATGCAATTCAGAACTCACTATGTAGCCCAGACTAGTCTTGAACTCACAACAATCCTCCTGCCTCAGCCTCCCGAGTGCTGTGATTACAGGCATGTGCCACCACACCCAGCTTATATTTCAATTGTTTGTAGCACTATTTTTACTTAACTCATTCTCTTTACTCTGATGATTTACTTGTTTACTTCAATGTCTTTTAAATTCACTTAGTAAAATACCTTTTACCTAGAGTACTGTGCAATTTAGTTTTAATTTTAATATGATTTTGACTTTTTCTTCTGTTTCTTTTGAGAGATCAATCAATTCATATTTCATTTTTCCATTTTTGGGGCCATTTCTAAATTATGTCTTGATTTTTTCATTTAAAATAATTCCTCATATCCTCAAATGCAAGTTTGTGTATATAGAATTCAGTATCAGATATACATATATAATATATATATATCATATGTTTATATATAAAACACACACACACACATATATATATATTTCTACACATAAAGGGTGTTTATCTGTTGCATCTTTTTCATTTCAATGCCCAATTAGACTCATTTATTAGATTCCTAGTTCAAGAATACCTGCTCTCAAAGAGGTCCAAAGTATATCTTCTTGTCTTTTGAGGGGAAGGAAAGAAAAAGACCAGCAGAGAGGCTGTGTGTACTTTAGCGTCTTTTACTCTTTTTTTCTTGCAAGATCCTGAATTTTCCCTTCTTGATCCCCTTTCCTTTACCAATGCAGTATTCAAACAATACCTCTACTTTCCTTTCTGTCCTCACAAATGTTTTAGTCTTTTCCTGACATTCAGTGCTTTAATCTTCCTAGAGAGATTTCCATCATTTTCATGCTTCAGATGCTTTCAGGCAGAAAGAAAAACCCAAAGATATATTTTCTTTGTAATAGAGGAATGCCTTGGTTTGCAAGCACTTTTGCTCACAAACAATTTAGGTACCACTGAGGTACCTCTGTAATTTTATCCAAATTGACCTTATATTTCCAAATTCCTGTTTCAGGAAATGCAAAATAAGCTGACAGGAATTTAGCATTATTTTTACACTTAGACAGTTTAATTTTAGTTATTATCTTCATGCTACATGGACAGTTTAGATTTCAATAGTTGTACTTATCCTTCTTTTTTATTGTTTATTGTGTTGGGGTAGAGGAAGCATTCCATGTACGAACTAGATATTGCCTTGGATGGTTGGTTTGAGTCTCTTTAACAAATTCCATAAGCTGAGTGGCTTAAAACAAACCAAATACTTATTTCTCACACTTCTAGAGGCTTGAAATGTTAGAAAAGAATGTCCATATGTTTGAGTCCAATGAGGAACCCTTTGTAGTTTGGGGAAAACTGACTTCTCATACCTACAAATGGAAGGAAGACTGCAAGTGAGTACTTTAGAAGAGAGAGAGAGAGAGAGAGACAATTCAAAATCTTACCATAGTCCAGCATGGGCAATGTATCTAAAAATGTAGTTTGAGTTAGAGTAGTTATTTTATGGACTTTACATGTATTTTGACCTCTTATTCTGGCAGGTAAACTGTGTTTATGATAATTCATTTGATAAAGTTTTGAAAGAAAGAAAGAAAAATAAATAAATCTGATGCTGGCCAGAAAATGGAAAGAAAAAATTAAAATAGCATGCAAGTGTAGGGGAAGGGAAAAGAAAGACTAAAGATATGTTGGGTACATGTCTCAATTCCCCACAATAAGTGGAATCATTATGTATTGTGGACATATATGAATAAAAGTTATAAGGAAAAAAACAGGACTCCTTCGTCCTGATCTAATTACATTCCAATGACCCCACCTCCAACTGTTATTATACTGAATGAAATTATATTTCATAGATTTCAATATAGGTGGCATGGGTGGCATAATCATGCAGTCCATAATTGCTTTGTAGAATCGTCTGCCTAACAGTGTGTGTGTGTGTGTGTGTGTGTGTGTGTGTGTGTGCATTACATACTGTGAATATCACATGGATTAATGTACACATTTGTTGTTTTTTTTTATAATTTTTCATTTTGTATTGTTTGGATATTAAATTACTTATGGATAAGTATAAGACTTCCTAGCCTTGCTTATTTACAAATTCTATTGTTATTCTACAGGAACTATTATTCTAGAAGTTTTGTCCAGTTACAGAAGCATCACTCGTTTGTTACCACTTGGACACTATACACATTCAGTGAGAAACTGCCACTAAGATTGGCCAGAACTCCAAAGATTTTCAGCCTTGTGTGAGCTCTGTGAAATTTTCTGTTAAGATTCCTTGCCAAATAACTTTGCCTGGTTCTCTCCCTTATATTGTATGCATGCTACCTGCCCCAGAGTGGATGTAGCACTCACACCCATAGTACCAGCATTGGATCATGAATAAATCAAAAACTCCACAAGCTCCCCCCATGACTGCATGATGCTTTGGGGGGACATCTAGGCACAAAACATAGCATCATCCATGTATTTTGGTTAATTTCCTAGCTGTTTTCTTTAAAGCTCTGAATCAGTTACTGCATTATAATGACAGAGGAAAATTTGGGCTGTATTAATTGGAAAAACTTTACAGATTATGCTACTGTGAAGCTGACTGTAATAGCAACAACTTCAGTTTCATAGGGAATGAAAAGATAAAAGAACATTTAATGACTATTGTGATAATTAGAATGCTATAAGTAGCTGACCAGCACTGAATGTTTATTGTACTGTAACTGTTCGAGGAACTTTGAAAGATAAACTAATCGATATTAGCTTTTTAGTTCTCCTTTAGTGAAACCTAGTTCAGTCTACTTCAAATAAAATGGAAATCTGGGCTGTGTTGAGAAAATATGTAAGACTATCACAAAGATAGAACTTGGGAACTTGGGAATCACAGTGAATACAAGGACATGTATTCTTTCTCCCCACACACTTTTTCCTCCTTCCCTCCCTCCTTTTTCTCTTCATCCTTTTCTTCCTTGTCCATTTCCTATCTCTCTATCTGCCACTTTTTCCTTCATACATGCATATACGTATGTGCGTGCACACACACACATACACAGAGAATCTGCCTGTTTGCAAGTAAGAAAAACATTAGATCAACTCACTAAATAATGATGACATATGTTAAACACTGTAATAGGAAGAGCAGTGATAGGATTTCAGAATATATTATGGAAGCAATCACATGTATCATCAAAAGGTTTAGTTTTATTATGTTTTACTTTATATATTCTCTGAAAACTTTGTTGTTTCAAATGTAATATGATTTTTTTGATGATTGAAGTTGTTTCAAGTACATGGAAGCACAACAATATACAGGGGATGAAAGCGATAATCTCTTCCTAAGAAGGAAATATTTCCCAGTATAACAATTTCCATGACTTCTGACCAGAATTGGAACATTTGCTCATCTCACTGTTGATTGCTGGCCTCAGTTGAAGACCCCTGAAGCATGACAGGTGGCCCCATCAGCCAAGGTAAATCGTTTTGTTGCTGTTTTTTGTTAATGCATGCCCATTTTCTCTCCTTTTAAATTATTTGTTTTTATTAATACATGTTTGCAGCTCACAGTTTTCATTTTCTTCATGTGGAGTTTGTACCTGTACTTAGCACAGCTTAATTCCTTTTCTCCTACCCCTCCATCTATGTCTAAAACCTCATTTCATTCAAGAAAGATCTACTTTCCTACTTCCTATTATGTATCTTATTTTTCTTTTTGTTTATAATATTAGCTTCTCATATAAGAGAAATCATGTGTTAGTTCAACTTGTGTGTCATATTTACCTCGTTTAAAATTATGGTGGCAAGGTGTCTTATCTACATTTTTCTCTCCAGGAAACAATAACACTCACAAGTTAAAGGAGGAAAGATTCATTTTGGCTCATAGTTTGTAGGGGTTTCATTCATAGGCTTAAAGGCAGAGTGGCATGGCAGCAGAGAAAGAGGTCATCACATGGGGCATGGGAGAAAGAGCAAGATTAAGGAAGGAAGGAGATTGACTCTACCACCCCATACCCCCAGTTACTCACCTTTTCCTAAAGGTTTCACCTCCCAGCATCACATTTAGCTATAAACTTATCAGTGGACTAATCCACACAGATGAGTATCATGCATCTTTGATTCAATCATCCCTCAAAGCCCCACTGACGAGAACAAGAGGCTTAGGAGGAGATATAGATATAAACCATAACGTGCTACCCCTGGCCTCTGAGAGACTCATGCCTACCCCTTTATGTAAAATTCAATGTTTGGTCCATCTCTAAGAATTACTATGTCCAAACAGTTTCAGTATTGCCAAAAAGTTTATGTCCAATGCCTTGGAGATCTAAGGCAAACTGTTGGCTCTGAGCCCATGTATATGTGTTATGGTTTGTGTCTGCATGTCCCCCACAAGTCTCATGCAGTCATGGGTTCAGGCTTCTAGAGTTTATGATTCATCCATGATCCAATGCTGGGATTATGGGTGTGAGTGCTACATCCCTCTGAGGCAGATAGTTAGCATACAATATAGGAAGGGAAAGAATCTAAGGAGCAGGCTCTTCCTGCCTCTTCTCCTCCCTTTTGCTCTGTTGCTTTTGCTGTCTTCTGCCACCACGAACTGCTGCCCTCTGACATGTGCCGCTTTGCACTGGAGCCAGCCAAGTATGGACTGAAACATCCACCAACTGTGACATAAATAAACTTTACCTTCCTTAATTTTGGGTGTCAGGTATTTTGTCTCAGCACTGAGAGAAAAGTAACCAAGACAACATGTCAACATAAAGTTACACATTTGCAATGTACCGAAGCACAAGATAAATATTCCCATTCCAGAAGGTAGAAATAGGGGGGTTGGAAGAAATGGTACCAAAGCAAAACCTTAGTCTGGTAGGGCAAACGTTAAACTCAGTAGTTTCAAATCCAGTATCAGGGAGCAATCTTTGGCAAGATGTGAAATTCAAAGGATACTGCCAGTGGTTATAGCCCTCATGGTTGCTCTCAGGGGGCAAACTTCACTCACTCTTTTTATTTTATTTTTTTAAACAAGGTTTTGCTATGCAGTTCAGACTGGCCTTGAGCTCACTTAGTTGTCCAGGCTGGCCTTGATCTCAGAGTGATACTCTTGCCTCAGCCTCCTGAATGCCGGGATTACAGACTTGTACCACCCTGTCCAGACCATCCCATGGTCTCTACTGCACTGGCTTCACCAGCATAGCATCACAAATTGCCTCCTTAGCAGCACAGTTCCTGGCCTCCTAGGCCTTCTTTCTGAAATTGTGGTGGAAGCCTCCCTGACCCCACAACTCTTGCATTCTGCATACACCTGAATCTTGCACCACATGGATGATGCCAAGGCCTGATGCCAGCTGGTGCAGTAGTGAGGCTTCCTTCTATCTGGGTTGTAGTGGTTTCTGATTGCCTGGAAAGCTGAGCATTATTCCATGGAACAAATTCCCTAAACTGCAAGTATTCTGGAGCATGGTGCCCTCGGACTCTCTTCTCAAAGTGGAGCTTTCACTTTTTGATTTGGAACCTAATTGTTCCTCACATTTCCCCAAGACATTTCCCTACTGTAACATATTAGGCTTCTTTATAATGTTAATGTTTTCAGGAATCAAGCTGTCCTGGACTTCATCTTTGTAGGCCCCAACTCTACTGGAGCTTCCTTTCTTGTGAAACTCAAAACTTAATATCATCCAACTGTGACTTTTTCTTTTGATTCTCAAGGTAAAGTTGGCTAAAAGCCTCCAACAGTAGCCATGTCATTGCCTCATCAATAGCTTGCCTTGAAATTTTCTCCCCAGACTAATTCGTCTGCCACCCTTAATCTCAGTATCCTGCATTGTCTCTGGACATGAGCAAAATGCAGACAAAATTTCTGCCAGAGTTTAACACATGGAGTCCAAATGTCAGTGAAGTACTTGATCAAAACTGAATCCTCCTGATCCCAGTTTTAACTGCTGAGTTTCTCTCAGCATTCCAGTCTTCTGTGCTCCAACCAGTATCTCCCAGCATGCTTGGTTCACAGTACTATATGGCTGCTTCTCCAGGTGGCATTGCCAGATCTTTCCAAACTCTTCCTGCAAGCCAATTCCAAGG